ACCAGTTACTCCATCTATCATCATTCTATTATGCAGGAAGTACCGCACGTCTATGGGTCATCCAGTAAGGTTAGCAGACTTGTAGATGTTACCACTGCTAGGCTTAGGCTTGGCTACAAGTACCTCTGGGAATTTGTAACATCTGCTGATGTAGATTTGACTAAATGTAAACTCTGTCAGCAGAACTATTCTCATACTTTGCGTCATTATATAATGGAATGTGAAAAAATCGCGGAATTAAGAGATAACGCCATCAATAGTGTCCAAGAAATGTGTAAGTACTTCATTCATAATGATGTGCTGCCCGAAATCTTAGCGAAATATCCAAAATTTGCTTACTGTAAGTAATGCATGCACATGATTGTAAAGCTGCCGCCCAGTTGGGTGGGTGTGGAGCAAGACTAGTAACTGTGACTCACCATAGATGTAAAGTGCCTTGTATAGTGACTGTTGTGAGCCTCTTGTTGAATCACTTGTGACACAAAAGATTATTGATGTGTGTACTTGTGTGGTGATTAAATATATATGTGTATGTATATATGTATTCGTATGTATGTGTAGATGTACGCATGAGTGTGTGTACATTTCTATATAACATTAATAATTTTGTAACTAGCGTCAAAAGATTGTTATTTGCTTAGCTAAACGAACTAGAGGGTTCAGTTCCTGAACCGATTATGTGCCGCTGTAATCCTTTACACCTCCGCCCACGGGATGGGTATGGGGTGCATAATAAAGAAAGAAATTGAATAAGCCTCACAAAATTTTAGTGGTGGGTGTAAAGGAACGAGCGTTGATCCCCATGCCTGTGTGAAGTCATAGATGACATGTCCTGCACAGAATCCCTAATGTTTTATCATTGTTTTAAAATATTTAAAAATGTAATCATTAGTATTTATGCAATATATTACTTTCTATATGACTTAAATGTTGGGAGCCTCTAGAACATACAAGTTACCTATATGAGGCTCCAGGAGGTGTACAGGTATAGTGAAGATGGCCACAGTGATGATTTTATATAGTATAGACTCTTCCAGGATATATTTATAAAGAAACATCAATTCAGTAATTCAGGAGAAAAGACATACATCTTCATTTATTTTCTGTGTGTACAAACGTTTTGAATATCAAGTTAAATTAGCAGTGCTAAAAAGAGCAAATGACTAAGGCAAAAAAACATAATGAATTATTAAACAAATCGTTGAAATATTGATAAATCTTTATCAGTTAAAAAGGCCAAAACGATAAATGGCCTATAAACATACTTGAAGATTTTTTTAAGAGTAGTAGTAAAATAGGTTCTAAGCACAGCTTTAGAATGTATTTTACTCATGTCTCATTTTAGCAATATAAATCGATTCAATGATAAGATCTGGTCTAAAGGAATTAGAAATTAAAAGTGTGATGCAGGCGATGAGTCACAATAACGTGGCTAAAGTATGATGACCAGACCACACACTAGAAGGTGAAGGGACGACGACGACGTTTCGGTTCGTCCTGGACCATTCTCAAGTCGATTGAGAATGGTCCAGGACGGACCGAAACGTCGTCGTTCCTTCACTTTCTAGTGTATAAGTGTGATGGGTAACTCATGGCTTCAGTGATCAAGTATTGTGGAGGATGTAATTTGCCACGCAGGACTGTCACTTAGGAGCGAGGTACTCGTATGTTAACAGGTACGGGGCTTAAGGTATCGTGAGGTATGCCCAACATATTTAACATCAAAACTGGAACACTGAAGAGAGACAATTAACTAGATCAGAAGAAAAAAATCAAATTTCAAGTTTATCTGTGACTGTGTCTTGAAAATGTTACTAACTTCTTAAAAAAAATTATAGCTTCCAGCACACAGATAATCAATAATATACAATGTTATGGACTTCAGGAACTAGGTTGGCCTTGAGGTGTATTGGGCGAGTACTTCTGAAGGTTGTAGGCGGCCATACACCTACCACACGGATACTCTGAAATGAAGGTGATACAGTAACCCTCTGGGAACTTTGCAATAACCAGGCTCTCACTCCATGTTCACTATCTTCACATCAAACCAATTAAGCCTTGCTTTCACGATTTCCATCTTTCCATCCCTGCTGCTTTTGCTGGGTTGGAAATTCTTTCCTTTCCTTCCTTTTTTTCTTACTTCCTTTCTTACTTCTTTCCCTCCCCCCTTTAATGCCCTCTTAACCTTCCTCTTTTCTTTTTCCAACCTATAATTCATGTTATATTTTCTTTCCTCTTTTCTCACACTTCTTTTCCCTCCCATTTTTCCCTCCTCTTACTAGCTCCCAGTTCCCAGCATCCCTCCCTCTTCCTCTTCCTTCTCGCTCTCTTCCTCACACCATTCCCCCTTCACCTTCACATTCCACACCCCGACACTGCTGGCTTTCATGGACGTTCGTAACGACTAAATTGTGTTGGCAGTGATATAATGAGGCAGTGGGGACCAGAGCCGTGTTCGTCATTGGGCGAACGAACTTGTTAGGTGTAATGAGGAGATTCATCAGCTTGACAGCGAGGGAGGAAGGGCCGCAACGATCACCCAATTATTCACTGGGTATTAATGGCGTATTATTTCATCTGAAGCCAAAAATGAAGATGATTACCAAGAGATAGTGCTAAGTCTGTGGGTCACTATAACCCTTGTAAGGGATATGAGGACATGGGTCTGGGGTGGGCCGGAGGGAAGGTACACTGCACAACCACTCAGGCTGACGGCTGAGTGGACAGCGCTCGGTATTCGTAGTCCTAAGGTTCCAGGTTCGATCCCCGGTGAAGGTGGAAACAAATAAGCAAAGTTTCTTTCACTCTGATGCCGCTTTTCACCTAGTAGAAAAAAGGTACCTGGGAGTTAGACAGCTGCTACGGGCTGCTTCATGTGGATGTGTAACAAAAAGGTGGCCAGGTCGAGAACCGGGCCGTGAAGACGCTAAGCCGCGAAATCATCTCAAGAAAATCTCATGATAACCACTTGTTCCATCGAGGATCGGACGCAGACCTGCAAGAAGGCAGTCACAAGTAACGTGAATAGAAATATAGAATAGCTAGAAATAAGGCATCAGCATTTCTAGCAAGAAATAATGGAACATAATCAATAACAACATAGCAAGTCGTATGTGTTAATTTACAAAACAACTTCTTGCAAAATATAAAACTCCGGTTGTATTTTGAGGCATAGCAGCAAGGCTTATAACTTTACTGGTGCTTCAAAGACAAAAAGAAAAGGTCTGGGGAAGATATGCAAGATGAAGTCACAATAACGTGGGTAAAAAATGTTGCCCAAACCCCACAAACTAGAAAGTGAAGAGACGACGACGTTTCGGTCCGTCTTGGCTCATTATCAAGTCGATTGTGATGAGAGGAAGAAGACAATGGCAATAAATACGCAAGAGAGAGAGAGATATATTTTCTGGGAAAATACTTGAGTAAGTTACATTGTGCTTCCATAAGCAACACCGCGCACCTCACAAACCATAATGACGTTGCTATCGATAGGTCACCTTTACCCTGAGAGCCTCTGGCTGTTGTATGAGCAACTGATGCAAGAGAGGATCACATCACAGATTCACCCACCAGGTACAAGGAGCCTATACCCGAAGTATCCCACTCAAAGAAGAAACACTTTGAGTATACCTGGAGTATTCCTTGTATATATCTGACTTATAACAAGAATTTTATAGAATAATAGAAAATATAGTTATCTACATATCTTGAATTATATCTACTTTTATTTCCCAAGTCTTGGTTTGAGGCCAGGCTTGGCTCTTGATGAGTTGGTCCAGCAGGCTGTTGCTTGAAGCGGCCTGCAGGTCTACGTGACTGCTATGACTCGATTGCTCCTTCACGTCTGGCTGGAACATGTCAGTTTGTTTCTTGAATACGTTCACTTTGTTCCGGCAATACTACTGATGTTTTCTGGAAGGATATTGAATAGCCTGTGTACTTCTGATATATATATATATATATATATATATATATATATATATATATATATATATATATATATATATATATATATATATATATATATATATATATAATATAATCTCCATCTATCTATCAGAAGTACTGTGTTCTCTGATTCTGCCTATGGCACCGCTACCCTTCAGCGAGGTAATTCAACATTTCCTACTATATCGTTAGCTCCAGTATGTTATTTTACTTCATAAATATGAGATGTGACAATTCTGTCGTCTCCTTTCTTGAGAGAGTACATTTTGAGGGCCAGGCGACGCTCCCAATAGTTTAGGTGCTCTATCGTGTCATGTTTGTATGACTGTCATGTATGACTGTCATGTATGACTGTCATGTATGACTGTCATGTATGACTGTCATGTATGACTGTCATGTATGACTGTCATGTATGTTCTCAGTATTCCTGAACATTTCAGGACTCTCTCTCCTGCTGTGGAAGAAGTAGTGAGCACCGAGCAGTACTCAAGGCGGAAAAGTACAAATAATCATGAATAGTTGCACTGTGATAAGATTCTTTTACTTGAAAGTTCTCATAATCTACCCCTATCATTTTCCTGGCTGATGCTAAAAAAAAAATTATGTTCATTGTACATTAGGTGACATAATTATTCCCAGGACCTTAAACTATTGTATTCCTTGATGACAATCGACTTGAGAATGGTCAGGGATGGACCGAAACGTCGTCGTCCCTTCACCTTCTAGTGTGTGGTCTGGTCAACTTACTGTAGCCACGTTATTATGACTCGTCCCCTGCATATTGTATTCCTTCCACGAGGTGATTAATTTGCGTCTTGTACCTTGTTTTATGATTAACTTATTCACGAAGAAATTAGATATCGTGCATGAGAAGCGCTCTATACCCATCTCTAGGAGCGTTGGCTCGTATACATATATTTTTCCAGACTAGTAATATTTTACTTCTCTATATATGAATTTTAATTTCCTCTATTTTGTTCATCTTTTATACGAAAGGATTGCTTGTATTTTGTTCATGTTTAACGTCCGGTTTAATGCAGGTTATTTTTTATTTTAAGAGATAGATGTTGACGCAATGTGATTTCTGCCCAGTGCTCTGAATGTCAAAGTGAAGAAATTCAAAGAAGCGCGGGTAAACGGCGGGAGTTAAATGTTGCATCTGACTGTGGCCTGATAAAGAGAGCAATATGAGAGGAATATGAATAGGGAGGGAGGGAATTATCAGGGGAAAGCACCAAGCCATCACGACTATGTAGCACTGGGAAGGGGTGAAGATAAGGATTTGGGATGGGATGGGGGGGAGGGAGGAATGGTGCCCAATCACTTGGACGGTCGAGAATTGAACGCCGACCTGCAGGAAGCGAGGGCAGGTTCAAATGATAGATTTGCGTTGAGGACACAACCTTAGGGTGATGAGGAAATATGGGAAGATTGTGTGTGGGTGGAGATGGGAAGTTTGTGCATGTGCGTGTGTGTGTAATGAGGGGTTGATGGGGTAGATTGTTTGAGGGAGGAAATGCGGAGGATTTGTTTAGTGGGAGATGGGGAGGGTATGGGGAAAGGACGTAGCGTGTGTTGAACATAAGGAGGATGAATGGGAAAAGATTGGGAAGATGCGATGGAAAGGATTAGTTAGGGCCCAGGTACCCCTCCCCCCCCCTACCCAATCACTTGGGCTGGACGGTCTCGCTTCATGCAGGTCGGCGTTCAATCCCCGACCGTCCAAGTGGTTGGCGGCACCATTCCTTTCCCCCACCCGTCCCATCTCAAATCCTTATCCTGACCCCCTTCCCAGTGCTATATAGTCGTAATGGCTTGGTGCTTTCCCTTGATAATTCCTTCCTTCCTTCCTTCCTTCACCGCCCCCCCCCCCACCCACCTACAGTATTTTATATACTATCACAGTTTATCTCCATGCACAATTTTGTTCATCATTCATCTCCACTGATTTATTTGTTCATGGTTCAGGTTTTATTTAAAATATATATCACTCACACGTCTCCCTACTGAGAGAAAGTAACATGATGCTGAGTTTACAAATGAATCCAGATCAGTTAGCTGCTGTATTCGTTATTCTAAGCACAGTAAATTAGTAAATTAAAAATATACATATATTTAATACAAATATATTTCATGTACCAGGATTTTATATGCGAAGGAATGTTCGGAATAAAGTTCTCGACTCGGCATATATTTTCTGGCAAAGGCAAAACGTCTGTAAAATTCTGTCAGACGCCTGGACCCACTGACAATTTTTGTCCTAGAAACCAACATTCCCACTCTCTCCTTTTTCCAACAATCCACATCCCATTTTCTATGCGTCCCTGCACTCCATTTTCTACTTCTATCCCTTTACCTTTGATGCTCTCAACGTCTAATCAAAATCCCCCACCGTTATTAATTTTGAAATTATCGGTAGCAGTGAACAGTGGAGAGATGAAAGAGCGTGTGACTTTGGAATCGATGCCTGGGCAGCTCTCTGATTTGAGGACAGTTTTTTGTTTGGATAATAGCAGGCGTTATTCTCTTGTTTTTTTCTCTCTCTCAGCGGTTGTGCTTGTGGTGGTCAAACTTTTGTTGCAGTTATAACCCTTTGCGCGGACTCTTTTGTCATGGATTCTTTTATAAATATCTTACTTTGGTATTTTCAACTGTTGTTATTCCTTCTTGAAAGCGTATTTTACATTTAATTATTTATACATTTAGTTATTAAAGCTTAAACATAAATAAACTGTTAGATGGTTTATCTATATTTACAATTCAACTGGTTATTTTTCGTTAAAAAGATTGTAAAGCAGAATAAAAATTTCGCCTGAAAATTCAGTGTTTTTTATTTTGCGGCTTTCTCACCTAAATGCATGTTTACTAGAAGAAAATTTTATCGAGTACAAGGGATGTATACTCCCGTAGTTTACAGCTGATATATACTTATTGGCCGTCCAGAAAACAATTGTGGAAGCCTGGAAGCCTTTCAACCGAATACGTCGGTTGAAAGGCCTTTTAAGCCTTTTAACATTCAGCTTTCATACGGGTTTGAAGATTTGTATACTCTTGTGATGAGAGGTAGGGAGAAGATAAAACGGTGAGCGGGAGTTGGTGAGAAAGTTTTCTAAATTCTAAATTTTTTCTAAATTTTCTAAAACCTGAGAGGGAGGAGAAAAGGCAGCTCTGTTTGCGTGGATGGAGAAGGGCGTGTGTGTGCAGGGAGGGAGGAGATGAGGAGAATTTGCGTGCGTGTGCACACAGATAGGAGATAGGTGGGTGTATGTGGGAGGACATATGGGAGGGTATTTGTGGAAGATGGAAAAGGTCTATCGGGGGACATTTAGCTGCAATGAAGATCTTTACAGTGACACACAACAGTGTATACGGAAGAGTGGAACAACGATTGGGGAGGCGGGGAGGGTGTGTGTTTAAAAGAACGAAGAGGGGTGTTTGGGGAGAATACCTTTGCACCAGATCGACCCGGGAATCGCCGGGTATCCCGTCTAATACAGCTGTCCTTCCATGATAGTACTGTGAAATGTAGTTCGACTTTCAACAATCGAGTCGAACGGTCGAAGATTGAACGCCAGGTAGTTAGGCACCATTCCTTTCCTCCGTCTCATCCCAAATCCTTATCCTCGTATCCCTTCCTAGTGCTATACAGTCGTAATAGCTCAGCGTCTATCCTGATAGTTAATTTTAACTACGAAATTGTTGTTGTTGTCGGGCTGGTTGTAGAGTACAACTGTAACCGTCCACAACATCCTTAATAACTTCTTCTTGATGATAGGAGCAGTTTGCATCATTGATAACACGTGCAATGGCTAATTCGTCAGCTCTGGCATTCATTTGGAGAGCAACATGAGAAGGATTCCACTCGAGATTGAACTTTGATTCCATCCTCAATTCTCTTTGCATATCTGTGATTGGCTTCAGATATAGCTTGATTAACGAGCGATTAAATTATTTACCTTTGAACGAATCCAAAAATATTTAGCCTTTTTCTCTTCAGGAAATGCAGTTCGTATTTATTTTGTGGAGGCTACTCATCAATTAGAAATATTATGAATGCAAAGAGAGTGAACGACCAATAGTTAGATTAGTTGCAGTGGTTTGGTTAGTGTTTGGTTAATGGCATATCAATCTGGAGAGTTATTAAGACTTCGACAATAGCATTGCATGGAAAGTATACCTTAGTATACTTTCTACATTCTAAGGAGTACAGAAAGTAAACCTTAGAACTGAACATAGTCCAGAAATAAAGTAACCCCATAGTGTATATACACCGAGATATTGTGTGTGTATATATTGTATATATTGTATGTATGTGTGTGTGTGTGTATACACACACACACATACATACAATATATATATATATATATATATATATATATATATATTTATATATATATATATATATATATATATATATATATATATATATATATATATATATATATATATATATATATATATATATATATATATATATATATATATATATATATATATATATATAATGTGTGTGTGTATCCTTCTACCGGGGATATATGAGAGATTACCAGGAATTACCATGTATTGTATACCAACAGATATAATTAGGTGATTGTATACCCTTCAATTTAAAATAATTATTAAACTGGGCATGCCCATTGACACTACATATAAGGAGAGTTAAGAGATACTCAATGTTAACCCTTCCTGTTAATGTAAATACCACGTAAACCTCCGTTGTTTAGATAACGCGTTCTTCTATGACGTTTATGCCAACTAAAATCACCATTTCCTTACTACCGCTAATGGCTTATATATGTGACTTTTCCGTAAAATGTCCCATGTCTTTTGGATTTGGTTTACAACCTTGTAGGCTGTCGTTTTAACCTCTTTTGTTCACCTTGCATGTGCCCTGTTGCTTGGTTTATTTATTTTGCAGTTCAGCCTGCAACACTGCTCGAAGATAAGGAGGATTATAGAAAACTGAACAATGCCTGAGGATAAACTTCGGTAAAAGGTTCTCATCTTGATTTCTTAGAGAATACAAGATTATTTATGCCAATAAAGCCCTAAATCGGCTTGATTTTTGTTTTGTTTCACATTTTATAAAAATAAATCTAATTTGAGTCTCTAGTCGGTGTATATACTGAGTCTCTAGTCGTTGTGTATACTCTCTCTGGACGGTGTTCAGATCTAAGGTATACTATATATACTCTCTAGTGAGTAAGCAGCTATGTGAAATTGAGAAAATCCACCAGGACTGTGATGGGGGCGCGAACCTGCATCTTCGGCATTGCCAGTTGCGTACTTGTGTTGGTGAAGCAGTTTTGTGGCCTTACTTGCCCTTGAGAGATTGATATAGGCCTTAAGCCCAACATGGAAGAGTGTCCTAGACCGGATATACCATGGGATATACCACGGAATATACTTAGATACGTGTAGACCGGCTCTTGGTATATATTCACCAAGATATTTTTTTTAGCTCTATTAAAAAAGATTAGGACTTGAAGTATATTATACTTGCTGATTGGTTGGACCTAAATAAGCCTCCTGCGGGTAATTGGATCTAAGCCCAAGGCTAAGCCCAATTCCAACCCAAACTTCACCAGATTTCTAATTGTTGCGATAGTGGCTTTGTGAGAATGTACTTATTGACAACCAAAGCTTTTAATAACACTATCAATTGTACCCTTTTTATGTAAATAAACAATTACACGCTTCTTAATAGGTCAATACAATAGTTCGCCTTTTCTAAGTAGCATATTATCAGCTATGTGACGATAGTTGAGCGAAATGTAAATATGTTTTCTTAACTGGTTACCAAAATAAGTCTTAATCCACTTAAGAGGACCACTTATTAGGACCACTTATAAAACCTCTGCATTTTTCTCTAATTGTGAGACGATTGTATTCATCTATTAAACAGTTTATGAGCTCTGAAGCACCTCGAGGTTCTTTGCAATAGTTAAACAAATTATTTTTTTTTAGTTTCGAAGCTGTTTTAAAAAATTTCCGAAACTTGAATGATTTATTAAATGAACAAGACAAACTGTGTATAGCGTTAGGAAGGGTCCTTTGTCCAAATGCCTTGAATGAAATCCGGATCTTTGTCAGCGTGATGTATGATATCGGCGCATGCTATCGACGAATGCTATTGACGCATGCTACTGTCAATTTATATATATATATATATATATATATATATATATATATATATATATATATATATATATATATATATATATATATATATATATATATATAACATGGGTAGTCAAAGGATATTGATTTCTGAAAACGTTATAAGTTAAGTCTTTGTTACTTCGTTCATCCCACTCCGTAGCGGAGGATTTTTATACTAATTCTAGAATGAACAATTTTGTATTAGAAATGATGAAAATTCGAAAATACTTAAGTTGTTTTGAAACCGCGCAACATGTTTTTGATACAAAATATTTTAATTTACATCATTTGAATTTTCATTTGTTAATACAAATCGTGTAAATATATTAATAGGAGTTGAATAACATGCAATATAGTCGGAAAATTTTTGCTTACACATCGCAGGGAAAATCAGACCGAAAAGAGGAAATATATAAATTGTGCTGAGTCCAGGCAAGACAGCTCCGTGATAAATCTCTGGCACTGAAAACGAAAATATTACTTGTGATTTTTTTTTTAGGCTTTGGGGAAAACATGTTGTAAATTGTGTTTATCTCTGATATAATACATGTAATTGACTCACCTTCAAACTCTGCCGCAGTTACAGCAGAGGATGCGGAGGTACAGAATTTTTGTCCTGGTTGAATTTCAATGCAAAGGGTTTGGCTGTCTTTAAACTCGTGTAATGAGATTTGTTCATTTGATGCATCACGCTATTGTGATTTCTGTGTGTAATGAAATAAGGGCGAAGAGGTTGAACGGTCTATTGACATAGCTCGAGTGCATGGGGGAATTGTGTAAAATCCTGGTTTGTGTTTCGGAGAGGCTGTAAGATCTAAGTAAGTTCAGTAGAATTTTTGGTTGCCATTCTTATACCATGTCGTAGCTCAGTCGATTAAGGCAGTGTCTGGGATGCTCTCGGACGCAGATTCGAATCTTCGTCACGGCCCTTGTGGATTTGTTCTCGTGTAATGAGTTCCAAGACTGACGAATCCTTTTTAGGCGATCTCTGGTGAAGTGGTCTCTGTACTGTGAACCCCAGCAGTGAGCTCCGGCTATTCAGGCTCGATTCTTGGTCGAGTCCTAGTTCTTATACTATCCGTATTCTTGTCGCAGCTAATTTCAGACCTTGCGTGTTATAGCCTGGTGGATAGCGCGCAGGACTCGTAATTCTGTGGCGCGGGTTCGATTCCCGCACGAGGCAGAAACAAATGGGCAAAGTTTCTTTCACCCTGAATGCCCCTGTTACCTAGCAGTAAATAGGTACCTGGGAGTTAAGTCAGCTGTCACGGGCTGCTTCCTGGGGGTGGAGGCCTGGTCGAGGACCGGGCCGCGGGGACACTAAAGCCCCGAAATCATCTCAAGATAACCTCAAGATCTCAAGATAACCACAGATTGAAAACAGGTTACGATTTTTCCAGTCCACTATTCTATATTGTAGTTAAGAAAACCTCGCGCCACCGCGGCCAATCCCTCGATTCCGAACTTTTGGGAGGAAAATTTGTTGCCATTGCGAAACTCTCATAAATATGGCATTAGTGTAGAGCTCTTGCACTAGGATTTATGGACCTATAAAAAATGATCTTGAGAGGAAAGCGAGAAAATATGCCGAGCACAAAGTTTGTTGCTAGTGAAGCGTTGCAACAATTTTACGTGTTGGTGTGGGACTGGATGGTAGGCATTGGTAGCGGCACATAATGAAGCCATGGGGATGAACAAATCCACAAGGGCCGTGACGAGGATTCGAACCTGCGTCCAGGAGCATCCCAGATGCATCACGTTAGTGTGATCTCTGTACCATGGGGATAATTCTCGGTGGGCCCGAAAGCACAAGAATCAAAATGGAGGAACACAAGACCGAACACGAAACAAAGGGTATAAATTTAATAAGTTTTTAGATTTAGGAAAGACTTGGGTAAATACTGGTTCGATAACAGGGTTGTTGATTTGAGGAACCAATTACCGCGTAACGTGGGGTTCCTCGATTGTTTCAAGCGCGGGTTGGACAAGTATATGAGTGGGATTGGGTGGTTATAGATAGGAGCTGCCTCGTATGGGCCAATAGGCCTTCTGCGGTTACCTTTGTTCTTATGTTCTTATGTACAAGCACTTCTTAAAAGTGTTTGTGCGGCTGAACAGCGTCATCCGCATGAAGGTCATGTGAGATCTGACGTCGACACTGCTTAAGGCAAACTGTCTGCTGCTGTTGGCACAACAGCAAGGGCTGTCAACGAGCCAACAAGGAACGTGTATACAAATTGGCAGAGTGGAAGTGCTACAAAACTCATCAAAATAAATATTCCCATTTACAATGTACCAGCGATCATATTCCTCTCTATTTACAAACAAGTAAATACATATAAATTACAAAAAAAAACGAGAATCAATTGTTACTCACAGGAAGAATGACTCTTAATTATCTAAATAATCTAACGGCCTCTTGCGTGCTATGCCTACACTCATGACTCTATCCAGCTGACAACAGGACGCCCTACGCAGCCTGCAATGCTACTGAAAGATAAGATCTATTTAGACTGCAGATAAGAACATAAGAACAAAGGTAACTGCAGAAGGCCTATTGGCCCATACGAGGCAGATCCTATTTATACCCACCCAATCCCACTCATATACATAATGGTGGTAATGGTAGTACTATTATAAGTGGGGCTGGTGGTAGTGATAAATGTGTTCAAGCCAGCTGAAGCAGGTGGTGCAGGCCAGGGCAGGTGGTGCAGGCCAGGGCAGGTGGTGCAGGCCAGGGCAGATGGTGGTGGCGCGGGTGTAAGTAGCACTCTCTAATTATCTTAAGTAGAAGAGCCTCACATTTCTGCATTAGACAGGAGCGACGAAACTTGAAGCAATTACCCGGGCAGAGCGAGGACCTAAGTCCTTAGAAGGAAGCACTGAACTTTACCACCATAATCGAAACTTTAAGTTGCGGTGTTTCTCTCTCTCTCTTTAAAAGGTTTCTGACGTTCATTGTGTCTGACGACTTAGAGTTGTATATTTCTAGTATTAATATTTTATCGGCCCTTTTAGAACAATATGAAAAGTCAAGAAATG